AAGTGGGCACAAGTGGATGCATTTGATTTCAGCCGATTCGTCGGATTCACTGAACAAGAAAGATGAAGTCGGGGCTCGGCGGGGCTGGTCGTTGAAGCTGGAGTGAAGAACAGCCTGTCAGGGAGTAGAACTGTAGGGTTTGCGTGTGCCACGTGGGCTGCAAACACCACGTGCCGCTACAGAAGATGCAACAGAGGTAACAAGGTATCCTTTACTCCTCTGGTACTTCTATGCATGGAAGTTATTAAATAATTTCTATATTTTATGAGGAAGGTCGTCACAACCTTGAGCTCTGTGAAGAGAACACATATCTCAGTTGGATCCTAGCAGATATTTAGTAAGTGAGGGAAAAGAGAAGGGAAAAAAAAAAAGGCAAGTGGAAAAATGCAAGAAGGCTAGAAGAAAGAAACAGACACCAACATTAAAGTTGCAGCTGAGTGACAACCGTTTCCTGAACAGGGCGTGAAGCCACATTGTTTTTTACTATTCTGAACTCAAGGCCTTGTATGCCCTTGGAAATTTACTAAAATAGGTGTTCTAAAAGAACAATTTCCTAAATGGATCTCCAGCGACAATGTGCTGGCACGGTAGGTAAACAAGGAACAAATTGGTCCTGCACATTTTGGAGTGGGCATCAATGTGAAAAAACCACTACCAGTGCTATGACAGACATTTTTACTTCTTTAGATCTTCACTCACAGCAGAAGCAGATCCAAAACAGTAGGAATCGCTGACATCATTTTTATTTCCACAGTGCACGGCAGAAACAGGTGACAGTTTCAGTCGGAGGGTCAAACAATTTAAATTCTCCTTCTCCATCTCCAGCTTAAGAAATACCAGCCTTGTGCTGCTGCTACATCCTGTGCATAATCGACGGAGAGAGGAACAAAGTCTCCAATGCTCCTAACTTGGCATTATACACTGTTCCTTTGTGTGACTTTATCTTATGCAGGAAGCCAAAATACTTACCCAGGCACATCAAAAGAAAGGAAACAAGCAAAGTATACAACCTCAAAAGAAAGCTCTCAGCTTTGGAATTCACTTTCTCTGCAAGAGTTCAACAGCACACGCATTGCTGACCTTCAGAGCACACCACCAAACACCACTGTTTATATAACCTTTGCACGATGAGGAACGTGCTTTGCTTAATCCTGTAGTGGCATTGAATGCAGGCAACTATATTATGATCCTTTTTTTTTAAGGGTCCTTTACCCTGTAAAAGTTTACGAGTAAATGAGAAAACAGAATCAAAGCTTTATGATGCAAGGGAATCTAAAGAAGAACCATATACAGGCAAAACCAGTCACCATTTTAAGACAAGTTTCCATGTATGTTGGCCCATTCTCAGCTAGAATAATTTGAAGCCATAAAGTTGCCGTAGGTTTTCTAGTTTCTATTGTGATGTAGCTTAGACTTAATCATGACAAGTTCTGATTAAAAAGTTACGAATCTCACATCGGGAAACATTCTTTTTTATTATTATTGTGAAGCCAACACCTTCTATGCACCAGGAAATTTACTAAAACAGGTGTTCTAAAATAACGATGTCGATCAGTTCCTCCTTACAGGAGGGTGGAAGGAAGCCTTGGAAAGAAACCGTGAGTAATACTAGCCCTCAGGCTTCCCAGAACACTTGGGGTTTCATCACAGAGAAAAAATTAGAGAAAGATGTTACAAGATGCTGAACAAGCACGCACACACACATATGAAATTGTTTAAAGAGAATTTGAAAAACCCTGGAGAAAGTGGATAGGCTAAATTTTGAATTTCTGCCTGCAAGCTTGGAGAATCTCTCCCCAATGGGAGAGAAAGGCCAGCTTCAGCCTAGGGGGGATAAATCTCCCTTAGCTCTTCAAACAGCCCGCGTGGGAAGGCTCCCGAAGGAGGCCGCTCAGACCAGGGAGCCAACCGTACCGTGTAACCTCAGCGTAGAAGAGTGGCTCTTTTTGACTTTAAAGGAATATTACGACTGGCCTTGAGTGCTTTGTGAACGGCTCGTTTTCTTCCTCCCTATGTTCCCTAAAAGCTTTTCCAACAACTTCTCCTTGAGGAGCTTTGCATTCTATTGGTGGCTACGAATGCCTGTGGCGTGTTGTTTAATACCAGCTATTATTCAAAACTATAAATGCTGTTTCCTTGACTATACTGATTTATACTGAACCCTCTTTATTCTTGCAAATGCACAAATGCTCTCATGAGAAAACAGTAAAACAGCTTTCCCACAAAGATAAAAAACCTCTTCCAATTAACACAAAATAATTATCTTATGGCTCATCTCTCTGTAAGAATCAAGTCTGTCAAAGCTATTCTCAGGTAGTGTCAGAAGCCTGAAAAATACTCCTGGCTTCTGGGGAAAATGGATGAGCAAACTGTAACAGAATCAGAGTTTCCTGATTCTGTGAAGTCGTTCTTCACCCAATACAGCACCTCGTATTAAAATTAAGTATATTGCAAAAAGTAATACAGTTCTTAAATTTAGGCAGCTATATCTGGCCTAACTGCTGCCTTTTTTTTTTTTTTAGACACTAGAGATCGTACACTGTTACAGCTGCTTGTGTTTTAGTGGAACAAACCATTTTCCACAGACCTGCAACCTGCTTTTAGCTAATGATTTCCATGAAAATACCAGTTAAAGTTGTGTGCTTTGATTAATTAGTACAATAATGTAATAGTAACTTACATTTTTTTCTACGGTGTTACATGTAATTATATCAGATTACATTGTAGCTTCATTAACAGAATTATATTTTCAATAATTTTGTAATAAATTTGGTCTTGCAGGGCTTTATCAACAGATGTAATTGAGGGTAACTTTGCATCTTCCAGAGAGCTATATGTTAGTACTTTAAGCTTTAGTGCTGCACTAATATCCATGTTGGCGGATTCTACCCAGAGGTATAAATCGATTATCCTCACATGCGGATCTGATTGCAGGATCAGGACCATAGACATCAGCTGTGTAACGCACAAACTTCCCTTTCAAATATCAAGGTAAATTAGGTTCAAATAAAACTAAGCTGATGAAATTATATATGTGTATTTAAGACTGTAATTCAGCAAGACACTTAATTACAATTTAGGTTACTTCAAAAGTTTGACATTTTTTCTCAGGACCCATGCTGCTGTTTAACATATATTTTGTTATTTGAATATTATTCACTGTATTCTTCATTCTTATAATTGTACTGATTTTGATACATAAATGTTTAAAGTGATTGAGACTATGCATGTATTATCTTTGAGATATGGTATTATTTAATTAGTTACAACTTTACAAATATCACACAGTATTTAAACATGGGAGGGAGTAGAGGTAGGCTGTAAGTTCACTATTACATATTGTTAGGGCTTCCCAGAACAGCATTTAATGGCTTTGACCTTTGAGTTTAAAATGTGTCTGTTTGTCACAGCAAGAAGGGATGTTTGAAAGAACAGGAAAAATTTATGTAAGAATCGGACCTCAACGAATCGAATCCCAGATTCTGTTACTGAAGACTACTTGGAAAACATCATAACCTGCTATTACTTTCAGCAGCCTTAGGAGTGCCAAGTAGCTAACACTACCGTACAACTTGCGTCAATAGAGGAAAATCAGTCTGACTTTCAAATCTGACCTAAGCTCCTCCCTGCTGGAATAAAGACATTGAATTTAAGCAAAAGCAGTAAAAGGCGCAAACCCCCCACACGTGCAAAGGTATATGTACAATGTTTTATAATACAGGACAATTTCAAGGGAAAATGATGTCTCCAAGAGAAAATATCCAGTGGTCTTTATCTGTGAGTCCAGCCCCTTCTTGCTGACTGGACACGTGCTACCTCCAGCTGGATCATAACTTGAAAAAGAGCCGCAGGGCTTACCTCGGAGGGATCTGACTCCCACTGAGAATTTTCAGTGTCCTCTCTAACCGACTGTTTTGATGGTTTCTTCAGCTAAGTCAACTAGAAGGAACCTAATTCATGCTAAATAATCAATGGACATTCCATTTAAGTAAAGAATATTACTTTTCTCTATTTGGGAAGAAAGTTCACAGTAGAAACCAATTATATTTGGGACCTGAATCTGTTCCCTTTGATATCAATGTGTAAACAGCACTGGTGGAAAGAGAATTCAGCTTTAGGTTCTTATGATCCTCTGCTGTAGTTGGGAAATAAAGGAAACAAAGGGAACTGTAGCAATGAACAGCAACAGAGAAAATCAGACAATGTCACCCACCAGGTAATAAACTGTTATTGTACAATATAGCAGGCTATGAGTGATGCACAATACGGATGAAAACAGCGGGAAGAAATCTTGGAAGAGATCTGTTTCTCTTCAGTCTTTGTAGGCTTAAAGCACATATTGCATGCTTTGAAATAAAAGTTTCCTCAAAGTGATGGCATTCATAACACTTATTCTTTGATAGACAAAGTAATCTTCCTTGGCATAAGCTTTCTTCTCCATCCATCAAATAGCAATCATACTAAAGGAACATCCCTGCAGTCTTGAGGAATTCACTAGGCCTGACTTTAAATCCTCTCACCTTCAGTAAGTTTTGGTATCTTTTTCAAAGTTAGGACATGGAAAAGACTTTAGGCATTTAAAAAAAGATTTTACATTTAAAATTCTCTTTGAGTCCCTGTTACACTTTTTTAGGAGAGGATATTGATGAGTTTTCCCAAGAAATGCAAAAAGATTATTTACATCATATATTTCCCGTAGAGCAAATGTGGATTTTGTAAACCAGCGACAGAAAGATAAAGGCCAGAGATTATTTTCCATGTGATTTGCTCAACACAAAGCCTCTGTTTCCCTAGCAGAGCTCTCTCCAGGATGGCCTGCCCACGTGAGAGCCCTACGTGTTTGGGGGAGACCAAAGAAATCTCATTAAGGACTGTTTCTCTCCCTTTACCTGAGGCCGTGTTTGTTTTAGGTAAGTATTCTTTGGGAGTTAAGATAAAGGAGGGGCTGAAAGGCCCAGGCAAGCGCCCAGCCTGCTGCAGGCTTCAGACCATCGAAGGCCATGGAAGGTGCAGCTACAGGTCTCCCGCTCCAGGCTGCCCCGGGCCCCATCTGTCATCGCTCCCGGGGCGCCTGGCGGCAGCCCCGACAGCAGCCGCAGCAGGAAACCCCGGCCCCGGCCGAGGGAGCACCGGGAGAGGTAAGGCAGGCACAGGGGTCCTTTTTCAGCAGCCTTCCTTTCAAAACTCCCACTGTAAGTATCGCTTGAATGCAACGATTTCAGCATTGAGTAGACAACAGAAAACAGTACCTGACTGCAGAAGTAAAGGGCAAAATATGTTTCTGAAAGCGTTTCAGTTGGAACCGCTGTTTTATTTGTTTCACCGATATTTTGTCCTTTTCAGTCAAATATTTCAGAACTTATAAATGGAAGTAAATGAAAATTAAGGCTATGGTAACTGATTTATTATTATTTTTAAGTTTATTTATCTTTTGTATCTGAAAGCACTTTTCCATTTCCCCAACTGTACGGATCTGTTACACCGCAGCAGAGATGGAAGGTACTGTTACAAAGGGCATCCATAATTGTAGTGTTCTCCCCCAACAAAAGGCAGACGTAGCACCCACCACTGCGTATGCTCTCTTGAGCTGATTAGATCAGATCGTCCATGTCAGTTTAATGCTGGAGCTGCTTACTCAACAGATAGCCAGCCACTCAATGACGACATGGCATCTGTATTTAAGCATACTGTCGGAGAGGGAGGGTTACTTTTTATGTTGTAGCAGTGCCGCATAAATAAGAAGATTTCAGTATTAGTTACATCATCATTTGGAGTTCAATGCAGTCACTTTGAGTTGTGAAACCTTAAAGAGAAATGACACCTTGGTTAAAAATGTGCAAGTGATTGTCTAGTTTGTTTAATCAGATCGTAGACAGAAGACAGACTAATATCGCCACAGAAATCAGATTTACCAAATCAAAATGTGTTGAGAAAAAAAAAAGTTATTTAAAAACATGCCAGCAGAATCTGATGAAAGGAGCTGTGCTGTATGAATATTCCCACAAAGAATTAACTGTGGGAGCGCTATTCTATCTTAATCTTTCAGCAGCCCTGCTTTATGGAGGCCCTGGATGCTCACAGCAAGAGATGGTGAGATGACAGAGAATCAACAAATGGTGAGACTAAATTCTGGGGAAAATAATCCTTATAGAAAACAGGTGCAGAAATTGAAACTATTTCAATACAGGAAGGGAGGCTTGGTCATCTATTCGTTTGTTCTTTCAAGTGTTTCTTCAGTGTTAGAAAATATGGTTCAAATTACAGTGTCCTGTACATGGTAATGCTAAGAGTACCTCTAATTTTGTATCAGATACAGAATCATTATCAGTTCTTAAGCTGCAGAAAAGCACTACTTGCTTAAAACAGCCCTCGTTTTAACACCAGTCTTTATTTGCTTAATTATAAAAATAAGAATATCCTCAGTTTGAAATTTCCAGGCCTAGTCTATATGCAATATTTTGTACATAGGGGGAATTTGAGTGAAAATTACTTCAAGGTGAAATTTAAAACCCACACTTCCGGTTGCACAATTTTATTGATTGTTTTGGGGAGGGAGCTATAGGTAAACCAGCTAGGAAATCAGCAGAAAATTGCATTTTAAAGTAGCTCTTCCTGCCAAGTGCCGTTGGAAGGCACCACGATTATTAGTTTTACTTACTCGTGTAGGATTTGTTAGGCTTAAAGGACAAAAAGAGAGGTTGAAGCACATTCAACATAGGTCCTGACACTGCGAACTTTAAAAAATGTATTAAAATGGTGCTACTCCCATGCTTAATTTTAAGCACCTGCATAAGTTTTTGCTTCCATCCGATCCACAGTTACATCGTCAACTTTTTACCAACGGCTCAGCAGGTTAAGACAAGAACTCTCCCTTGTGCAAGTCTCTAAAGACTCACAATTTCCACTATATTCTAACACGTGCAACACCTTTTTACCTTGCACTTTTTGTCTGCTGAGGATGGAGGTTGTAGGTGTACAGATCTGAGAGAGCACCACACTCCTCCCGGCAGGCATCTTGGGAAAGCCTGCAGAAGAACATCTTTCCCAGCAGTGTGCCAAGCTTTGCCAGAGGCACCTGTACATTTGCTGAGGATGGGAGAAGTCTTGCTCTAATGAGAGTACACGCTTATAGTGATGATTTCAAGAAACTAAGGCTTCTGAAATCAGGAAGTTGTGATTTATTACTGAAGTTATGTTTTTGTAGACAATTTTATTCAACTAGCTCAAAAGTTTCAATTCATACTTGGGCTTTTGCGCACTTGTGTGAGAAAAACAAACCATAGATGAAGTTTTCCACATTTATGCTAGTGGCCTGGCACTGTTTCAAGCCAAGCATAACTGAAACAGTTGGTTTCAATTTTTTAATATTTCTCCTTCTCGCCAGAAGCTTCTCAGATCCTTCTCATCCATGTCTTACGGCTCATCTACACTGCTTCAGCATCCTAGATGCCTCTGTACCTTGGGCCCTAACGAGGGCTGAAGGAGGGCTGTAGGAGCCCTTTCATATGCTTCTTAACAGGGCCACAACAACAGAGGAAAGATGCTTGGATACTTTGTGTGGTGCATGGGTGGGAAGAGGTGCTCACTAGTGCAAACCTACCTCTCACAGCTGTGGAAAGCGAGAGGTATCTTCCTCAGCGAGGTTACTGTGTCTTCTAGCAGAAGGCCTTCAAAGATGGACTGAGCACGATGTTTTTGCTAGTTAGTTGCATGCTGGCAACTTTCATTTTCTGCAACGGATACATACAAATCCTGATGTTTTACAGATCAATAGACACTCCAAACACTGGAAAGTGAGGCAAATAAAAGTTTCATTATCCTCTGTGTAATTAAAAAGATGTTTAGGAATATACATATGAGAATCCAACCTGAGGAATCAAAAAATGCAGAGCAAAGCACTAAAAAAAATAAAAATACTGGTAAAAAAAAATAAACTAATAATTTTACCTCTATTGCCAAGAACATGTGTTACAATGTACCCTGTAGTTACCTATACATAATATACTTTTCCTTATATGAAAGGTAACACTTTTCCTAATACCTAAATTCAAATACATCATTATTTACGCCTGAAGAAAAACCATTAAAAGTAATTTGAAATTACTATTGCCGTATCTACAATAGAATACAAATTGACACTGAACGTTTTCTGCTGTATACAAACTTAGATTTTGCAATTAATTGGCTTTTATCAGAATTGCTTTTCAGAAATGCTGTATTATAGTCTGACAAGAAAAAGCATATAATGTCTTTAATCAATATGTATTATTAAATATATAATTATTAAAAAATATGTATTCCAAAGAGAAGACAGAGAAAATACAGGTCAATAAAGATTAAAAAAGACTATTTTCATTTTTATGTAAATATGAAAGGAGAAAAATAACATATGGTATTTAACACCGCTATTATGGTCACATCCACAATGTTCAGCCAGATCAGGAGTCCATTTTACTTAGGCAGTGTGGAAACAAAGTAAATGAGTCTCCTGATTAAACACCAAAAACGCTCAACAAAACCCTAACAGCCTGAAGACAAATCATTTTGGCTACAAGACAAACAGGTGGGTGTGAGAGAAATAGACCAACATAAAAGTTACAGAGAGAATGCTATAGGACTTCTTGCTCAGTCTATAGCCCAAGGGCTTTTTGGGGCCCACCAAATTATCCATGCTGAAGCTTGCTTCCTCAGAAAGACAGATGAATCACTCTGACAGTGGAAAAAGTCATCTTTGTCTCTTTATAGCAGAGCGGACAGTTTGCAGATTCTGTTCACTAGAAGTCCTAGTATAGTGAAGCGAAATCTTCCTATTCTATGCAACACAAAGGTTATAGCAATAGGAGGAAAAAAGAAGTCGTCTTGTTTTAAGATGTGGAACATGCCTACAAGATGAAGTGATAGGGCTCAGTGAATTTGGGAGATGCTTTCAGGTTTACGTTCCAGGCTTATAATCCTAATAGGATTTAGTAACATTAACATTTCCAAATCATTGGTTTTTATTGGTTTTTATTGTGACCTTAATTTGAATAAATTTATTCTGTGCTAAACTTAATTTTGATGAGATTTAAAATGTATTTTTGCTACCTATTCTGTTGCATCAAAATGCTTGCTTTTTTATCACTGTTTGCGCAGAAATATGAGATGCCAGTTGTGTCTTGATTTTACTGTTTGGACTCTTAATGTGCTTGTGTGATCTCTGATTAGAATTAAGCTTGCAAACTTCAACATTCCAACTCTAAACTACTGGTTAGTGTAGTTAAAGAGGTATTTTGTAAAACCCTAACCTCCCAATCCTTTAAACTGATTAAAAATCCTTTTTTCTTCAATCTCGTGGTGTTATTAGTTCAACAGTTGCTATAGATATTTCGTAAGAACTTTCATAAGCAAAATGTACAGTTTCATGGCTTTATGGCTCATAAAATGTACAAGTTCAAATGCTTTGTTAAATATGCAACTACTGGCAGACTATGAGCACATATATTCTCTGAAATACACTTAGAGTAAAACAACATGCAGCATGGCAGACAAAGCAACATTACCACAGAATTTTACAGTTACCTGTAGAAGACAACAGTGAAATCTTAATTTTTAGCCTATTCTAAATAATAAACATGTCTCTTTACAGCCAGAACCTGACGGTCAACTAATAAATTTTAGATCAAAAGGAGCCCTGGGCTTTCAACATCCAGTGAGGTGAGTTAAATCCTATCAATTGATAGAGGAAAAGTGACACCTTCCAAGCAAGACATAATCCTTCTTGGGAGAAGTATGTTTGTCTTTGGAGTCTCTTTTTAGTTTAACTACTCACCAGACTCCATAGATTTTTATCCCTCCCCAAGGAAAGACACGCAAGCTGAAAAGAATCTGAAACAATATGTTAATAACAAAAATAAGAAAAAAGGAATCTTGAAAGAAACAGTGTGCTTCTTCCCCGTCTAATTTATATTTACATTTATTAATATGATAATAAGCTCACAAAGCCCAAATAATTAACATGAACAGCTGCTCATGGAATGTGAATTGTTACAGATATGTGTCTTGAGGTATCTTAAATTTGCTCTTGAATAAAAGCTGAACTCCAGGTAAAGCTTTTCCTGTGCTTGGGGGATTTATAAGGGTTTTCACCAACATTTGGATTCTTTAAGGCTTAATGATGCAGAAACTCCTGATTTAGACTTTCATTTGGAGGCGGAAAATTAATGGACTATCCCTCCTCTTTACAAGCATTTCTTTTTATAAAAGTTGTGGAAGCTTATATTCTGTGTGACCTTTATCACTGCCAAATTTAGTTGAAAACTGGCCAAAGTGGAACCAAGAGGAAGAGATGTATATGCATATGCACCCAAAACCACATCTGTATACAGACTACGTAAGTTTTGATTTAGTGAGAAAGCTGGTAAAAACCTGAAATGTAAATTAAGACATTTATGGTTTCAATACAAAACAGTAATAATTTTGAAATAAATCTCTCTCGGTGTGCACCTTCTCCTCCACCTGGAGACGCAAAATCCACTAAGAGCAACCTCCGTGCAACAGACAACCCACCTCCATCTTAGCCTGGTGTCTTAATCTTAATTCCAGAATCCCCGAACATTCCTCACACTTCCCCCAGTTGCATTGGACACTTCCATTCTGAATGGTGCTAAAAACCAAACCATCTCAAGTACACATCATTGCCCTTGCAACACTTTATCAGGGTGGGACCTTAGATAAATTCAATACACAATTTACCCAAAGCAACTGAGGTAACTTAAAATCAACAGTACATTTTAGTTACCAGCTTTTATTTTAAAAGACAAGTAACCCTAGGATATTTCTCTCTCCAAAGAAAGATAAAAATAGGGTTTAATACTCAAGCTAGCTTAGCTGGGAAAGCATCGTGTACTTCTACATTTTCTCTTAAAATATGTTTTCTTATTAGGCTTTATTTGCCCAAATCCAAATCCCAAAAGTTTCTTAATAACATCGGAGAGAAGGTTCTGGCAAGTTTTCCAGTACAAGCTACAATTCACTTCTACAATGATGACGCTGACTCTGAGGAAGATGAAGAAGAAACCAATTCAGCCTGATAATGAACAGTGGTCAGCCCCGACAAACAAAAAATAAAAATTAAAAAATCAAGAGATAAAAAAAGACCTGTCAGAAACACACGGACAAACATCTGACTGAACAAAGAAATACACCAAAGCTCAAAAGAAAACTATTTATAACTATCTTACCAAGAAGAATGAGTCAGTGCAACTGGAAACTAAGAGGAAATCCTTTTGTTTTGAGAGACTTTTGAATAAAACCCTGAAGCTGAACAAAACATTATAAGGGTTAAATCAAGTTGGTTCAAGTAACATGGATTAAGAACTTTAAGACCACTGTACTTAGTTGCTATTTTTTACATTGCAGTCCTGATAAAATGAATATAGGATTGATCATGAGGCAAAATAATATAATGTACAGTCCCAAAATAATCCAAAGGCTTTGAAACACAATGTTTGAATTTAAACAAGAAATTATTTAAAATGGAAATACTATTGCTTATTAGCTTAATGGGGCCTGGTTATTCTGGTATAAATGCTGTATGCCAAATCGACCTAATCCATTTCTAGTATAAAAAGAAATGTCAAGACAAGTTCTCAGTGACAGTCCTGTCATTCTGTTATTATCAGATTTCCCCCCTGTAATCAGAAAAGTGCCTTTTTGTCGGTTAGAAAAGGTCAGCTTTGCTTAAAAACTATGATTTAATTTAATGATGCATTAAAACATGCATTATGTGCTACCTTCTTGTCTTCACCACAATATTCAAATCTTATTTCTATAGCTTAGTGTGCTTGAATCTGTGATTTCAATATAACTGACCTACTGTTGATTCCCAATTAGCAGGATCTGGATGTGTATCTCACCACCTTGACATTTCTTTTAGATCGATGTTCAGATGTTTAGATCAATAACTTAAGTTACTAATTTTTATAAGCATCTTTATGTTATGTACAATGTAGACACATTTATTCCAATGCTGTTATACCACTAGCAAAACCTGCTTTTTCAGTACAGTTTATTTCATTCAGAGAATTGGTATAATCTGTTCTGGTTAACCTTTTGTTTGCATAAATTGTGTGTGCTCAGAGAGTTTGCCAGTACTTGTCTTGCTACACCAGCATTTTTTAATTAACTCAAGGATTAGCTATTTGGCATCACTATGTTTCAGAATTATTATGCTTCAGGTGTCTTATCTCTAACCAAAACTGCCACAGTTTCCCCAGAGACAGGGCAAAGGCAGAATCCAAGATTCTTGACCTTTTCTACGCTACTGTTGGTGGTGTAGATAAGGTCAGACAGTTGCAAGAGCCACTTGAAGTGTGCGTCAGATCTTCCTCTTAGTACAATGTACTGTCAAACAATGTGATCGTGTTATAAATTGTAAGTCTAGCAAATTAGGAATCCAAATGAATGAACGTATTAGAACGGTGGATTTTTTAAAAATCTCCATTTACAAATGAAAAAGTAGATCTATGAATTAAATTTACACAAGGAGACAGCATTCTACAATATATGGAATTACAAGAACCAGCTGAAATTGTAAAACCTGGTGCGACACAAGAAAACTCAGCTTTTACATTTCACTCACTCATTCATCATCTCCACATCCTCATTCCTAACATACGGAACTAAAATACAGACGTTTTAAAGTCTTTCACTTCTCTCACAAGATATCCTAAAATTATTTATGCTCCAGCTTCATCATTATTCAGTCTGTGGCACAAACAAACAGAAAAGGGTCCAAGATCACTTAACAGGTCAGTGATAATGTATTCCCTACATCTCAACCTATTGTCCATTAAGCCTCAACTTCGTCTTTGCAAAGTCTCCATCAATGCTCAGCTGAGTTCACTCCCAGCATTTGGAGTTCTGCCCTCACCTTCCAGTCCTGAACAGGGCTTTTTCTCACCTTTTAAGACACCTCTGTGTGCAGCTGTGCTGCCATTTTAATCTGTGTGATGACATAAACAAGCCTGGTTACTGCTGAATTGCTCAGGCCTTCATTGAGGTTTACTGGAATCCAGAGGCATGTGTTGAGGGCACCACCTCTTTTACCTGTGAAAATGGTGGTTACCACACAATCCCCACACAGCACGGTGCTCCCCAACACACACACTGTCCTCAAGAGCCATTTGCCTTATACAGATATTGCCACCGTTTAAGGATCCGTCATGTAAAAGGAACACTCTGTAGGTTCTTCTTTGCCAATCCTCACCTTTCTATTGAGACCATGCTGCCAGGGTTTACAGCTCCTCTGCCTGCCCTGCAGACACCCAGCAGTGAGTGGGCTGTGGTTACTCTTTAGAAAAGCACCAGGTGAGACCAGTGTGTGCTTGCTGACACAGATGCCCAGCAAGAGCTGGTGTTAATATTGTTGCAGGACAGCAATAAGGAATATCCGCAGGACCACGTGACATAAATGGAGGCCTGCTTGAGTTGCAACTGAGACTGATCTTCCTGCATTAAGGAGATGTTTTGAGCCAGAGGGATTAGCGTCAACAGGCGGGACTATGTGTTGGCGCTGAGGACTGGTTATTAACTCCTGACAGGAACCTTCAAAAGCTCTATCTGAAAACACCGTAACTGCAGCTTGGATGACCAGCAGAAGTTACCATGTTCTCAGAAAGACAGAGCTTTTGAAGATCTGTGCCTGGAGTTAATACTCAACCTTCAGCATCAACACATCTTCCAGGCACTCACTCCACTTGTGTGGGGCTGTGTTAACCTGTCCTATACTCTCACTAGCTGGTGGTCAACCAGTCTGGAGAGGCAAGTGGCTCACTGAGATCTGTGAAAAAGGCTCCTGGACTTTCCAGCAGCAGCATGCTGGAAGAGTGCCAGGTTCTAAGTAGATTTTTGGCTGCTGAAGTCTACTGAATATTTTGAGAAATCGAAAGCATTGGTTTCAGTTTGCTGTTTCTCAGGAGTGTAAAGAACTTTGGTCAGTAGAAGAAGCTTCAGATGGGGAAACTAGTAAAACAAACAACACGAGAACAGACACAGTGTAGACCGTAGGTACAGTGAACTGGCACAGTGTAGTGGCCATACATACTAACAGAACTACCACATCAATACTGGATGGGGCATCTTATTCCAAGTTTCCTGGTAACATGTCCAGGCAGAATCTGAACATTTTAAACTTGTCCAGAATTTCCAGACCTACAGCAAACCAAGTGGGACAGTAGCTTCATTAAAAATATTCCTAGGCAGAAAAGAGGAGCAGTTTTAGACAAATGCTGGAGGTTTGAAAATCCCAGATAAGTGGCCACTGAATAAATGCAGATTGACCTCACAGAATGTGAGCCATAAGTCTGCTGCATCCTAGAAAATGATATTCATACTTGACATGAAGGCAATAAAGGGGGGCGTATGATAAAGTATATAGATTACACAAACAATAAAACAGATCAGAACTTTTCAGCCTGGAAGACATGACTGAGTACATAAACGTAGTCTTTAACATCTTAGGTGGCTTGTAGATGGCAGAGAATGATTGAACAACAAATGAAAATAGTGAGCAGTGAGTTTAAAACAAAAGGAAGCACTTATCCCAACTTGTGATTAAGCTGTGATGTTGTTGAAGCTAACAGTTTACCTATTTACAAAAAGTAAATTAAAAATTTTCATAAGAAAAATACAAAGATACAACATCTGGTTCCAAAGTTTCGCATTGTTGCAGGCTGGGGAAGCATTCTGGGGAAACACTACTAGCTTCTTGCCCTAACCTTTGCTCTTGCTATTATAGCAGGCACTACTAGCCAGTGCCAGAGGCAGAACATTAGCTATATTTATCTTTGATCTCCCACAAAATAGCCATTTTAATATTCATTGAAGGGCTACATCCTGGATGCATCAGATGTAGATTTAATGACATTAAGCAAGTGCTGTTACAAATCGCCATCTCTGAAACAGAAAAAAGAATCTTAAGTGTGTTCTTTAAGACAGTAGAACAGGCACTGTTATTAGAAAAATACAATTGGATAATGGATGACAGTCCTATCAAAGGCTGTTAGAAATATCAAAACAAATCATCTTGCACATCTGCCGAGGTCTGACAACATTGTATCAGCCTAAACCGGTTCAATCTCTCAGTCTCTGCCACACATTCCATTTGGTTTCCCCTGTACTGTCAAATTCCATTTTCAAATTAAGGTAATATTACTGTACTAATTATCTGATTGGTAATATTTAAACACAGTCATTAGAGGAAGCCAAAACTGTATTATACTTTTTCTGTCAAACCAGCATCTTTTTTTGTTGAATAACTGTCTTTTCATGTTACAATGCCAACATACCCTTATCTGCACACTTGAATAAAATATGGATTGCGAACCCTTACCGGTTTGTTAATAATGAAGAGGCTAAAAGTAAACTAATATAGCATCTCTGTTACTCAACTGCAGTTAACTTTCTGTTTTCAGTTCTGGTTTGTTACTTCATCTGCGATTTGACCTTGCTAAGTTTTCAGTGACCTTAGAACCATCCATCATTTACAGGAAAAAGATAACAAAGCATCCCCAAATAATGAGTTTATCATGAGCTTACTACTTCAAAGACAACGCTAGAAACACAGCATTTTACAGATTAAATTGTTGGCTCAGGATCTCTGTTCCACAGAAATTCCCTTAGTAGTTCAACAGCTGTAACATTTCCAGCAAATGCTACCTTTCGATTTTCATTGTCTAAAATTATGGGAGTTAAAAGCCAAGTTAATGTTCCACTGGTATGTGAATGCTGGAGAGGTATCCAGACAATGTCTACAATTTTATATTACTATTGTATGTATGCACATGAAAAACAAAATTAAAGTATGTTCATAAAACCATCTCGAATTCTACTTCCAAGCTCTTAAGACAAGCTCTTGAAGGATACGTATGTCCAAGGGAAGCATACCCTCACATGACCTTAAAGTTTGCTGAGTGTTCTTTCTAAATATGATGCAGTAATAATTTGGATTAACAGAGAAAGAACTATCACAGAGACAATTTTTTTTCCTAAGCTACATTTATACTGACAGAATGACAACAGTAGCAGGACTAAATTGCCACACACAACTGAGAAAAGGTGATCTTCACAATAGCAGTTTTATGAGCTCTAGAGACAAAATCCATTTAATTCACTGAAAAATCTACCATTTAATTACACTCCATATAATCATGATTTCCAGACTGGGTTAATCTATCAGCCGCTTTTAGCAAAAGGCTGAGAATTAAGTTGATACACAAACTGCACAGCATACCAATGAAATTTACCTTGGCAATCTCCCTGTAAGGAAACTGGCAGGACAAGACTAAATGCTTCCAAAACTTCCTCCTGAGAATGCAGTTCAATTCATGAATAGAAGGAGATATAAAAACCCCCATTGATCTCAGTCGTTCTGGAGCTGGCCGGAAATCTAACAGCACAGCAGCAAACAAGACTTTGCATTAAACATTTTAGCCACTCAGACTCAAGTGCCCATGGAAAAGGTGCATTATGGAACAAAATATATTCACACAAAAGAATTTATTAACTACTTTGTTTGTAGGTCAGAAATACTTTATCATTTACACCCACAAATGAAACTGAAGTCCATAGAAACTGCCCGGTAAAGAAATTAAGTATTCGGAAAGTCTTTTTCAAAAGAGCTTTAGTGGTGAGTTTCTCATTGTACCTGTAGGTGGGAGCTTTGGCATGAATGTGAATTAAGTATTAGAGAAACACTGTATTAGGGCAAAGATCTCGTAGCTTCTTATCACTCTTCTAAAACCGAATTGCTACAGATATAGCCAAGATACTGATTTGTTACACTCTCCTGGGACAGAAAGATGGAGCAGGGGAGAAGAGGGGAGAAGAGTCAAACACTGTTTAGACGATCTCACCATTACCTCCATTCTCACATTTAAGTTTTGATGGAAACCTCACTGTTTCTACAGTTACAATCTCTTCTCTCCATTAAGGTATCTTTTCAGACTAACTTTTCCCGATTTGACTTACAGCATCTTAAGGCCCACTAAAAAGAATGACAAAACCTGCTGGTATTACTTTACCATCATCTTTCCTTTCATACACTTTACTTGCCATTGGTGGTAGGGTTGCATTTTTAATGTTTCTAGATCACCTGGCACAGAGGTGTACCGATGAACAACCGGAGTACCACTAAGAGATCTACACTATGGAACTAAAACATACACACAGCATTTCCCCTGCTCCCACTCTCAGAAAAGCTTCAGGCACAGTACCTACACTGCGGGCAGTATGAGCCCTCCTAATTCAGGCCAATTTTTAACTTCACAGAAACGCTGTCTGCAGCAACAGTATAAACACTTAATATTAAAGCTTTCTGATTTATATGAGAGTGTCTTTGATTGTGCTTGCTGATATAGTGACAACTTTTGCCATAAAAAAATCCAGGCTAATACAATCCGTTACTCACCTTTTAGCCTATTCTCCCCCCCC